TTTGAAAGGAATATTTTATTCTGAGTAGTAAGCCTCAACAATGGGCTTAAAATATTCAGTAAACCGTGCTGTAAACAAATGTGCTGTCATCCAGGCTTTGTTGCTCTATTTATAGAGCACAGGCAGAATAAATGTAGTGTAATTATAAGGGTCCTAGGATTTTTGGAAGGGAAAATAAGCATTGACTTCACGTTAAAGTCACCAGCTGCATTAGCCCCCAACAAGACAGTTAGCCTGTCCTTTGAAGCTTTGGAGCCATGCATTGACTTCTCTTGAGATATGAAAGTCCTAGATGATACCTTCTTGCAATATAGGGCTGTTTTGTCTACATTGAAAATCTGTTGTGGCTACTTTCATTTACTTAGCTAGATTTTCTGTATAACTTGCTGTAACTTCTACATTAGCATTATTATTTCAAGCAGAACTTTTAAGTTGTCAGACGACTTCTTTCCTTAAACCTCATGAACCAACATCTGCTAGCGTCCAACTTTTCCTCTGCAGCCTCCTCACTTCTCTCAGCTTTCACAGAATGGAAGAAAGTTAAAATATTTCTCCGGATTAGGCTTTGGCTTAAGGGACTGTTGTAGCTGGTTTGATATATACAGACCGTATCAGCAATAAGGTTGTTTCACTTTCTTTTAGTTCCTGTGTCATACTTTCAATTTCCTTCAAGAACTTTCCCTTTGCATTCACAATTTAGCTAACTATTGGCATGAGAGTTCTAGCTTTTGGACTATCTCAGCTTTAGACATACTTTTCTTACCAAGCTTCATCATTTCTAACTTTTGATTTAGAATGAGAGACATATGACTCTTCTATTACTTGAACACTTAGAGGTGAGAGGCCACTGTAGGATTATTAATTGGCCTAATTTCAATATTGTTGTGTCTCAGAAAGTAGAGAGGATTGAATGAGGTGAGTGAGAGAAATGGGGAAATGGCCAGTAAGTGGAGGAATCAGAACGCATATATTTATTGAGTAGGCTTGCCATCCTAAATGGGTGTGGTTCAAGACACCCAAAAACAATTACAATAATAATTGCAAAGATTATTGATCAGATATTATTATAACAGATAATAAGAATAATGAAAGTTTAAAATATTTTGAAAATTACGAAAATGTGACACAGAGATTCAAAGGGAGCACATGCTGTTGGAAAATGGTGCTGATAGGCTTTCCCAATGCAGGGTTGCCACAAATCTTCAATTTTAAAAAAAGCTGTATCTGTGAAGTATCATTAAGCAAAGTGTGATCAAACGAGGTATGCCTGTATTAGCTACACAAATAGTCATACATCACTTAATCTTGGCAGTTTGTTCTGAGGAATGCGTCAAGGGATTTCATCAATGTGTGAATATCAGAAAGCATATTCACTCAAAGCTAGATGTTATAGCCTACTACACACCTAGGCAATATGGTATAAAAGATTGTTTTAAGAATATGAACCTAGACAGCATGTTAAAGTACTTAATACTGTAGATAACTGTAACACAGTGATAAGTATTTGTGTGTCAAAACATACCTAAACATAGAAAATGAACAGTGAATATACTGTATAAAAATTAAAAAAAATGATATATCTGTTTAGGGCACTTACCATAAATGGAACTTGCAGGACTGGAAGTTACTCTGGATGAATCAGTGAATGAGTGGTGAGTGAATGTGGAGCCCTTGTGCATTGTTGTATCCTAATGTAGACTTTATAAACAATATTAACTTAGGCTACACTACATTTATTGAAAATATTTTTCCTTCAATAATAAATTAAGCTTGGCTTACTGTACCCTTTTACTTTCTATACTTTAAAATTTTTTAAACGTTTTGACTCTTGTAATAATACTTAGCTTAAATCACAAACACACAGCTTGGGCAACACAGCAAGACTTCATCTCTACAAAAAATTAAAAATTAGCTGGATGTGGTAGTGCACGCCTGTGGTTCTAGTACTTGGGAGGCTGAAGTAGGAGAATCTCTTGATTCCAGAAGTTTCAGGTACAGCGAACTATGATCACACCACGGCAACCCAGCTGCCTGGGTGACAGAGGAATACCCTGCCTCTAAACAAACAAACAAACAAACAAACACTACAAACACATTATACAGCTATACAAAAATATTTTCATTTTGTATATCCTTTTCTGTAGGCTTTTTAATTTTTTTTAGTATTTATTTCTTTACTTAGCAAACTTTTTTGTGAAAAACTAAGATATAAACACACACAGTAGCCTAGGCCTAAACAGGGTCAGTATCACCAATATTACTGTCATCCACTTCCATATCTTGTACCACTGGAAGGTCTTCAAGGGCAGTAACAGCGTAGAGCTGTCGTCTTCTATGATAAAAATGCCTTCTTCTGAAGTATTCTGTGAATGACCTTCCTAAGGCGGTCCTACATTTAACTTTTTAAAAATTAAATAAGTAGAAGGAGTACACTATAAAATGATGATAAAAGCATAGCATAGTAAGTACATAAACTAGTAACAGAGTCTTTTTTATCAAGTATTTTTAACTCTACATAATTGGATGTGCTATACTTTTATATGCCTTCACAGTCACAGTAGGTTTTTTTTACACCAGTATCACCAGAAACAGCTGGGTAATGTGTTGGGTTATGTTGTTAGAGGAGGTATGGCATCACTAGGTGAAAGGAACATTTCAGATTCATCATAATCTTATGTAACCACCATCATATATTCCGTCTGTCCTCGAATGAAATGTCACTATGCTGTGCAGGACTGTATACATGTAAGACAGTTGCTACCGGATAGGCGTTACTCAGTGTTCTGTTTTAGTACGGGCCTTGCTTAGCAAAAGTATTTAAACAGAAAAATTTAAAGTAGTACACTTTTCAAATTGGATAAATGGGTGTTTCACTGTTATTAAGCCAAAGCATATTGCTACAGAATTGATAGATGAGTAATTTTCAATATTTATATACAGTTACGTTTAAAATAAGTTTCTTGTATTGTGTTATTTAGCAAATATAAATGTATTTCAAATGAAGCTTTTAAATCTCAAACTTTCTTGGCAGAGACTAGATTCTAACTTTAGGGGGGATTATTGCAGTTGCCTCCCAAGCAAAAAATCTGTACAAATGCTTGAGGAGTGACCGTATTTAAATGTTACCAGAAGCCGGAAGTGTAATCTTCAAAAGTTCAGCAAATGGTTTCCCTAAACTATCTTCTTAGATTACTATGAGAGAGACTTTATTTCTCCCTGGCCTCAGCTGGAAAAAAAGTAACTAGACTGAGTGTTACCTGGAAATTTCTCTCATTACTTGGAATTATTTTTTCTTTATTTTGTTTTCTGCTTGCCAGTATTAAATTGTTCTTAGTATTAAAACCTGAGGTGAAATGTAATTTCATTTCAACACTGGCACAAGTTTGAAATTTGCTACCTAATCTAATAGTCTATACACTGCTCCAGATACTATTTGCACAACCGCAGAAAGTGAGAAACGGAGTTGAGAAAGGGCATGTTGAATGGTTTGGAATGGGATAATGTGAAGAGTTTTCGGACATAGGATAGTACACATTTTTTGTTACTTGTTTTTGTGAGTTTTTCCAGATATCTTGATCTACTCAGAGATCATATTTTTTAAAAAATAATTTCTCTTAGTATCTTAGTAATATAATGTCTTTTTCCAACAATTTAATACAATCCAAAAACTTCACTAATGAAAGGTAGTATTTTCTTTCTAAAAACTCTTACAGGATTCATACCATTTACCAATGCTATTTAAAATTTGTTTGTCATATGGTTTGTTATTCAAACTGGGGCACTGTTAAGAATAAAAAGAGGTGCTATTCATAATTATATTAGGAATTAGGAATAAATCAGATTTACAGGCAAACGAGTGTGAACTGGCGTCACAATTATAACAATATTTACTAGCTATTTTCTTTCTCACATAACTTGCTCAGGTTAGCAATTAAGAGTTATAAAATAATCCCTAAGAATTGCTTTTATATGAAGCAGTTTATTTAACATGGTATGCTTAGTAGTTTCTTGAGTATAAAATACCAAAGGATCTTTAGAGATTAGCCTTTCATTTTGACAAGAGGGTATTACCTCAGCACCTACTGTCTTGCTAGTCATCAAAATAAGGAATTTAGTAGCAGTGTTTAAATCTATATCTAGTATTCAAACCCCCCTAAGGATTCATCCAGATGATATACAGGAATGGCCTCTACTATTCTCAATTGTGTGATAGTTTTAGTCATACATTAAAATAAAATTTGATTTAAAGAAGTATTAATTAAGCAACTTGAAATGCTCGGTTTACAGTCTGATATGACTCACACATCACTTTCGAAAGGTTTATTTGCAAATTTTATCCACCTGAAAAGATAGTTAAGGAGATGAACATTTTTATTTTTACGTATTTTTAAGTGAGGACAGGGATGAGGCTGGGTAAGTCCTCCTCCCTCACCAATAACAAAAACACTTTTACAGGTGTCAAGCCTGGACCTTAGACTTGATCTTGATCTTGTTTCACATCCAGTAACATCTCATCATAGTGTCTTTCAACAATTGATCTGAAGCTAATATAAGCTCACCTTTTTGTTACTAGCACACTAGTAGAATATTTCATTCTACTAACTTTCAGATTGATATAGAAGTAGATAAATCATGTCTGGCAACGCAGTGAGTATCCATCAAGATTAATGTATCTATCTGCTTGCTCCATACTTTGTTTCTGTTGCTTTTTGAAATATTCCTTTATGCAGCTTAATGAAATTTGCTGGTAAATTTATTAAATATCTTTACATAATACTTACCTATTATATGTAAAATATTTACATTTACATATTTTTCTGTGTAGAAAATTCTGCTATGGGTCTATGATTTAAGAATTTTTAATCCTACAGTTTTGTATAATGATGGTGTAGAGGAAATTCAGTATGTATCAGTCGATAAAAACTCCTTTTTGCCATGCTTTCTCCTCAGCAGAGCTCCTTGTTTTTTTGTGCTTGAAAATCCCCTAATTCTATCTCCAGAAATTCTACCTCTGAAATTATTTGGAGGAATCCAAGGACTTAGATATTTTAACAATGTCTCTGGTAATTTTTATATCGGTGGTCCATGGGTGTTGACCTATCAAACTGCTCTGCAACAGATATTAAGAAATAGGAGTTCAGGTAAGGCTTCCAGTATGACTTCCTGAATGTAATTTGTTAACATTCCAAACAAAGAAGCTTAATAGTCTCTTGAGTCCATTCATATACTCAGTAAATGTTTACTAAGAACTCTGCTGGATGCTGAGATGAAATGGTACACAAAAGAGACAGGTTTTATTCCTCTAAGTATCTAGTGAGATAGACAGGTCAGGCAAAATGATAAGGACAACAATGAAACATACATAATGGTTAGGAAGCACACAGAAATATTCTTAGCCTGAAAAGAAATTCAGAGAAATTTCCTTAGACTGTCATCTAAACTAAGAACCAAAGATTCTTATGATTTAATTAAATGAAAGAAAAATAGAGGGGGAAAATGATTAGGCAATATAAGCCAGTTTGGGGAACCGAATGATTAGATTTTCTGGAGCACAGTGTATATGGGGCTATTAAAGGGGGGATGATGGTAAGAGAGATGTGACTGGTTTGGGAAGATTTCATCAGATCTTGAAATAACTTGTGAACAATGTCATAGCGTTCAGATTCAAACTTAATTCTTATCTCTAACAACTTTAATTTAATCCAATGTTCTCTTAAATCAAATTGGTATTAAATATTTCCATTTGCTTTATGTCTATTTTGTTTCCAAATGATATCTGATGCTTTTCTAATACTTAGAACTACTATGAGGATTACTAAAATATTTTAAATATGTTTTTTGTATTTTTTCCATACTGATTTTCTCTATTTCTTAAATAACAGTTCTTATAATTCATTTAACAACGTGCCTAAGTTCCAATAAAATATCCTATGCCTGTTGGTGTCAATAGTTGGTTTTATTGCAAGCATACCGCTTCTAATTGCATAGATTCCTCTTTGCTGTTTTTCTTATTAAGGATAAACTCAACTGATGAGTTCAATACCCCAGCAGCTTTAAAGTCATCATTAATTTGATGTCACTCACTCTTCCTTTATTAATAGTCCTAAGTTCTTATCAACCCTGAAAGAGAAGGTTGACCTATGCAATTTGATCCCAGTTGCAAGCATTAATTAATCAAGGTCCCTGATTGCCCTTATGTTTCCCTGACAGCTTTAATGTTGAAACAATCTTTACTGGAAATTTTCATCACCTTAACTATAAGACTATCCTTTCAGGTGTATAAAATTTGGAAAGAGACCTTTGGAAAAGTGATGGGCAAGTCATATCAGAGTGTAAACATAGAGCATTTCAAGTTGTTTAATTAATACTTATTTAAATCAAATTTCATTTTAATTTATGGCTAAAGTTATCAAACAATTGGGAATATTAGAGATCATTTTCCACATATTGTCTAGGTGAATTCTTAGTAAATTTTGAATACTAGATATAGACTTAAATACTGCTACTAAATTCCTTATCTTGATGACTAGCAAGACAGTAGGTGCTGAGGCAATACACTCTTGTCAAAATGAAAGTCTAATTTCTGAAGATCCTTTGGTATTTTACACTCAAGAAACTACTAAGCATACCATGTTAAATATTGTTTCACTAACTGAGTTATTATCCAATTTTACTATCCAGTTTGGCAGAGACATATGTCTATCACTTTTGATAAATCTCTGCTTTCCTATGAGCTTCTAACCCAGAGCTAGAATGTTAATGCTGTTCATATTTTTGCATTAGTTTAGCACACTAAATAGATTTGAACCTCACTTGAGGCTGTCAGGAAAACCAAGGACACATTGGAAATCTCCTTTGAGAGACAGCTAGCAGAGTCCTTCTTTCCTTCTTTCTCTCTTATAAAATATGTAAATAAAACTTTAGAAAAATGTTTGAGGTGAAGTATTGTCTTCTTAACAACGAAGCAGTCGAAGAGCTTTAATAGCATTGTATTTAAGAGCCTTTGAGACTTTATATAATGACTTTGAGATTTAGGCTTAACATTTACTTAGGAAAATACTATTTAATATATAGTACATAGGTTTATTAATACAGAAGGAAGCATCTTTATTGTCCATGTGAATCCAAAGAATTGACTTGAGATAAAAAAATTACTTTAACCACATTTTACACAAATTTTTTAGGGTCATTATAGAAACTTACCAGTTTCTATAGAAGTTATGAAGTTATAAACAGTAATTTTATACTTTAAATTTTATCTAGAGTAAATTTAAAAGAAGATAAAGACCCTCATTTAATAAATAAAGAAATTCAATCACAGATGCCCTACATGACAAATTTAGAACCAGAATTAGAGAAAAAGTACATAGATAAAAAATATTCTACAATGGAAATATTCATATTGATGTGCTTATTGAATTTGAAGATACTCAATAATGATTATTATTATTAATGTTCTTGTTGTTATGGGAATTAAATAATGGGATTAACAGACTTGACAGATAAAGACCCTTTTTGTTTTTCCTCATTTCATTTGTTTGTTGCCCAGAAATTTGTTTTAGGCTCTAAATAGAGTAACCAATCTCAACCTAAAAAGTCACTAAATAAGATTTTCCCAAAATATGTTGTGTTTACTAGCAAATGAGAAATGAGAATTATAATCCAAAATGCACAGAATGGCAAGCTACCAGTGCATTTGGTGAAGGAAAGGTAAAGAGAAGCTGTTATTTGTGAAAATGAAATGGTTCACATAACCTGCTTAGAAACGGAGTTCATTGGTTTAGTTCATTGGTTTAGTTCATTGTTGGAGAGGCTGTTACTTGGCAAGGGTTCTTTCAAAAATGTCTTATTAGAATTACTGGAATCCTAAGGAATGACCAGTGATAAACCTATCAGAGGTTTATCACAAGTGTGAAGGATGTGAAAGGGTTTTTGTGGAGTTTTACATATTTATATATACAATAATTACATAGTATATATATAATTATATAATCAAAGAAACACAGGATCTCTATGTCTTTTGCTATTGAGTTGGATGCATAAGAAACTGATAAAACTGCTGGACACAAGTCTTCAGGTTTTCTTATTTATATTTTGCTGTTGCTATTGAGTCAAAGTCTTCTCCTTTATGTAGTGTTGTTATAAAGACCATGAAATAATTTGTGTTTAAGAGAGTCTGACATAAACAAATTTTACAAAATATATATATATATATACACACATGATTTTTTAAAGCATGAAAACTGTAAATGAAGAGTCTGCCTTAATTCACCACATTCTAAGACTTAAACTGTAAGGTTAATTACAATTAGACCTTTATTACCGAAGCATAACTATTCATACTTAAGAAGTGGGGAACCAAGACTACTCTCAAAGTATCTAAATCAAAACAGAAGACAAGACCATGCTAACCTTCCCAGCTTCACCCATGCATGACCCCCATGTCTTTGCTCTTATCTACATCCTTTATCATTCTGGTTGTTTAGTGTTGTCTTATGGATTTATTTATTAAGTAATAACATCTTGCTTCTTAGTTTCTTCAGCCTCCTTGGAGCTGTCAGGCAAGATTGACACTTAGAAAAATCATTTCAAGCAGAAGTTTATGTAATACACCCATACATCTAAAGGTCATATTAAGAAATCTGAATTCAAAACAACATTTTTATCCATGTACTTTAATAAATATAACTTGTAGCGACTTTAACAATTTGGCATCATTATTTCATGAAGTAATCAGAATGTTTCCAATTACATAATTTTTAAAATTTTGCTCTAGGTGTTAATTGAAAAACTTTCCAATGAAGGGAAAAGTTTTGAATATTTTCAAAACTATAAAGAGTTTTATTATTGCATTAAATGTGTATAAGTCATTTCTAAAGTCTAAATTTAATTAAAAAATAAATATCCAAATTATTGCTAGAAGTAAAATAGCTGGGGAGCAACAAATCCATTAAAAGTAACATGGAACTGTCATACTGAAGAGACTTGCATAGTTTTCATTTCAAATTTTCAACTATTTTCTTGTATTTTTTTCATAATCGTTCTGAGAGAAATTAAAATAATCCTGAACACTTGAGAGATGGCCTATATGAAAACATATAATACCATAACTTGCAATGTAGCTCCATGGACTAATTTTATTGGATATTTAACTATTGAATGTGATATTATAGTTTTTTTTTTTTCTAAGCAATTACATGACTGGAGAAGAAAAAATCTGCATGACTCTGCACTCAATTTTTTTGGTTTTCCCTAAAGATCTTCTCAATATAAAGGAGTTGTCACAGTATGGATCATTTGTAATAATGTTTGGCAATTTGAGAAAATTGCTGACCATTCAGTAGCTGTTTCAGCATCAGTAGGATTTTGTAGTCTTTCAGCAAAAAGGAATCATTCTAATAGCTTTCTTTTGATACTTATTCACATATTTCTGATAAAGTGTTTTTAAAATTAATAATAATGTTTTCCTTTCAAATTGCCTAAGTTTTCTATTAAAACAGGTAGTTAACATGCCTATCTGCCAATTGCTTTTAATTTTATATTATTAAATAAGGCTATAATAAACTTTGAACTCATTTGTGACAAAATTTCAAAAACCTTGGATCAGAATTAGTAACAATAATAATACAAATATATATGCATTTTCTTACAAACATTAAGGAATCATGGGTTTGAGGAGGGGCTGTCTCATTTGTGCATATTAACTTTTTATAATAGTATTTTTTCTATTTACTTAAAAAATATATGTTCTATTGTATAATTTCTTTAGATTATAGACAATTCCAGTCATTGAAGAACACATTTAAGAAAGTGTGCAAATGGCTATTACTTCCATCCAATTACCATGACACCATTAGAGATACAATGGAAATCTGTGTGACGAAAAAAATAGCTATAGAATTGTTACCGAATTCAAATATTTGGTTTATAGATCCTTAATGTGTGTCTGTCTGCACACAGTTTTTGATAGTATTTCTTTTTCTTTTATTTATATTAAATTATGTTTTATCAAGAACTGAGAGCTGCTAAGTGTTGAGGCAGTCAATTAGGTCCATAAGCCAAACTGAAAATAATAGTTCAAGGCACTATTTACTTATTTATGTAGCGTACCCAAGAAGCCAGAATGAAGGCAACAGCTCCC